AAGGTTTGGTTCTTGGATTTATGATTGACAAGATTGATGATTGACTGCATATCCAAATTGTTGTGATTTAGTTGGAAGAATGTCCCTCTGACCACAAAGGTCACTTAGTCTAATCCTCTACCACGATGCAGGATTTGTTTGGTCTATGCCATCCATGACTGAAACAAAATGTTTTGATGATTTCCCATCAAATATTCAACAAAATGGATACATTTCCATGAAATGGTTCAACTTTGTTGAATCAATATTTACTGGCAGAAAATTGTTCAACTCTCCTGTTGGCTTCTTGTGATTTCCCAATAGAGGCAACTTTTTCATCTCATGGGAACCTGGTTTGCCATGTATCATAATGCCATTTACACTACTAGTTCACCTTGAAGTCCCCTGTCACTAGATCCCAATGTTGTTGGAGTCTTGAAGGAATATCCTGCTAGGATTTTACCTCCTAAATTAGTTTTACAAAGATTCCTCTTTTGTGCACGGTGAATATTTATCTTCCATTAGAGATCTTTGTGATGCCGGATTGTGCATTGTTTTGATATTTACTTACTGCTTTCTTCCTAGGCTAGAAGTATTTGCTGGCAAAGTATGATCTAAGAGAGCAGTTGAATGCAGTAACTAGCTCCCTTATAGCACTCAGCCAGACTAACTTCTAAAAGGTATATGGTGAGGCCTTACCATTTACACTGGGAGGAGGTTATTCCTCTGGGCCTAGCACACTAGTCGGGCCATTGCAGGGTCTAAAGCAATGATTCTCAACATGCAGCTCTCAGTCAATATGACATTGTCAGAGCCATATGGGTACTGGATGTGGCCCATATAACACACTGTATGATGGCCATGCAAGTGATAAATAGGGTGCGAACCACTGGTCTAAACTTTCAACCTCTGGGCAAGTCTCATGAACTGTGCTAGCCATAGCAGTGTTTCCCACAACCAAGTGGGTTTCATGTGCATGCTGATCACTAATCTATGTCTGTTTTGTGCAGGGTAAGGTTGCTCAGTATGATTCAACTGGTTATTATAAAATGCTTCAGACAGTTTGACTGCACATCACACATGTCTTTTTTTGTGGCCTGGTATCCAACAGTGCTAATGTTCATATATGAGTAACACAAAATTTTAATTCATAAAAATAGTTATATCTTTTTTAAAAAATAGAAACTTTCCATCCAGCACTGATTCTGCTCTTACACTGAGATAATTCAGGAATGACAGCACTGACGAGTTGCAGTGACTTGAAACTGGCATGAGATCAGAATCAGACCCAGAGGTTTTATCTTCTACAATGAATCAAATAATCAGTGTGTATTTAAATCACATCCTTTTTTTCACTCCTTTAAAAGTAAAGAATTTAACAAAGTCGTTTAAAAAAAATGTAAACTTTACACCAGATTCTTTGAAAGCGGCTTAATCAGGTGTCACACAAATCTTCCACAAATCATCTATATGAGAACATATGTGTTAATAATGTAAAGCCACTGAAAAACCTAGACGGACTCAAAACACCATGTGGATGAAGTCTGCGTTAGCTTTTACTATGCATAAATCTAGTGTTAGCATAGGAAAACTTTTGGTTTTGCCCAAAGACAGACAGATCCCAGGCTCGCAGCTGGAACTTGCGTGTGTGGTCTCACTCAGTAGACTATTAGAATCCCATGCTAAATTTAATCTAATCTGTATTTTAAATTAAGTAAATGACACTCAAGTATTCAATAACATATTTAGGAAAGTGGACCTCAGTAAAATTTTTACTAGTACACTATGTGAAGGGGAATGCCTTTCACACAAACTTTTAGTAAGCCATAGTGATGTAATGTATAGACTGTATGGCTGTGTCTAGACTGCATCCCTTTTCCGTAAAAGGGACGCAAATTAGACACATTGCAATTGCAAATGAAGCGGGGATTTAAATCCCCCCTGCTTCATTTGCATAAAAATGGCTGCCGCTTTTTTCCGGCTTGGAGCTTTGCCGGAAAAAAGCGCCAGTCTAGACGCGGATCTTTCGGAAAATAAAGCCTTTTCTGAAAGATCCCTTATTCCTTATTTTAAGAGGAATAAGGGATCTTT